TTGGATTATGGATCGAGACTTGTTAATTTTACTTGTTAGAAGAATTCTTCACTCCTCGAGGGAAATTCTGGAGAATTTTTTGAAAGAGTTTTGTGAAATTTTATTGGATTTAATCTTAGGAAATTTTCTTCGAAGAATTCTTGGGAATATTTGCAACTTTTTTGTAGATTTCTTTCTTGGGATATAATTTATGATAATTCAATCACTCAGAACATGTTGAATGTGGAACTAGGACAGATTTCTTTTCAGTTCCCATCTTTGGAAGATTTTCTCGCCATCCTTATTTGTTGAGGAAAATTCTGAAGAACTTTTTTGGAGGGGTTTCTTGAATTGTAGATTTAGATTTATTAAATTCTTCTTAGAACTCTTCAGAATATTTGGAATTTTTGTAGATCTCTTTTCTGTGGCGCAACTTGTGATTACTTAACAGTTCTCTTTCACGAAATTGACGTAGAAGACTTGGAATTTTTGTCACTTTCTCTTACCAATCATTTTATTACTTGAAAGATTCTTCGGAAGCCTTCTTATCCATAAAAGATTTGAAATAATTTTTTCTTTTTTCGTTAAAGACTTGGAACTTCTTGAAGATTCTTCAGAATGTTTGGAATATTTTCAGCATCTTTCACTTAAAATTTTCCTAAGTTTCTTTCTCTCTCGACGTCTGAAGATACACCTCCCGCGAAAGGTTCGAAATTTTCACGATTCACTTTTACTTTTCTTGGAAAAGTTCGCAGATCCGAGGATTTACCGAAGATTCGGAATTTTCGTAATTTTCTTCTTTCGCAAAAGATCTGAAAAATTGCGAGGATTCTTGGAAAAGAAGACTTGGTAAATCCTACGTGGAATTATTCATCGCGGTGATGATGCAAAAAAAAAAAAAAGAAATCACGTTTCTTCGTAATGAGGCATTGTTGCCTTCGTAAAGAACTGCCTTGCTCTTTAATGAAACGAGAAGTTTAAACATAGTACAATTAAGTACTTTGTGGTGAAATGCGAAGACGCTTAGATTCAGTGCGATTAAGTCTACTTTAAGTACGCTACTGTTGCTCTCGTTAGCCTATGGAATTCTTGTTAAAATTATTAGCCATTTTACGAGACTAAGAATCACTTAACAGCCCTTTCTTGATATATTTTCATTTCATAAGGATCATAACTCCTCTCGAAATTCCTTCACAGCTTATCCTGAATTTCCACGAAATTTCTCGTGTCCTATCGCAGCAATGAATCTTTATGCTAAATTTTAAAATATCGCGAAGTTTAATGAAATTAAACAAATCCGAGTTGGATCTCGATCAACCCAAATGAAAATTCGTGTGGGTTCCAATTTTTCCAAGATGAAATGATAACAGAGTCTTAATAGGAAACTTAGTTAGCTCATTGTGTTACCTATTAGACAGATGAAACGAATTATTAGAATAAACGGAGACAGGCTAATGAGAGTCGCCGAAGGAAGTGAGTTATTACATTGGATCGTTTCAAATAATGTATATTTTATGTAATAGACATTTATATAATATCTGTATGGGTTTCTTTTATACGTGATTCACAAGCAATATCATATCTTTTTTTATTTTTCCTTACATAACTTCCTCCTCCCGTGAAATACAACAAACTTTGTATAAACAACAACGATTATGTAAACAACGACGGTTTGTAACTGAAGTTTGTGCTGAAACGTAACGACTTCCTAATTGCCTTTTACTTGAAAAAAAATTTTCAGCGCACCAAACTGATCAGGAACACTGATTCTCCTATTTTTTTTTTTTTTTTTTTTTTTAATATTTTTATTTTAATTTTTTTTTTTTAAAATCGCGACAAATTGGGACAAAGCTGATAAGACTTCCAAAAAAATCTTTCAACTTTGAAAAATCATTAAAAATTCTAAAATATCAATGATTATCAGGCTGATATTACATTAGTAAAGCTGTTGAAATTAAAATTGCCACCAATTGCTAAAAATTATACTGTTACAAAAACTCCCTCATTATACTGTGTATGCTTTACACGCGTGAAAAAAATTTATCGGTTCAATGAATAGGAAGCTTATCGGGCGATCGTTTGTGTACGATTAACGTGTAAATTCCTATTTCAAGGAGTCGTTTCGAGGCGTTTACAACGGAGGTAAATGTATGCAACGACGCTCACGATAACGAAATGTTTCTAGCGCGATGTCGCAACCGCTTGTGCGAACGAACATTGGCGGGCATCGGCAGGCCAGAAATCGCCTACCATTGTGCCAGGCATCGTAACCGGGCTCATTGTCGCCGCTTGTGACGCTTCTTGGAATCGTGTTAATCGAGAACAGTTCGGACTTGCTGGGTTTAAAATGTGTGTCGAACAAAATATCACGTCATTCCGGTTAACGATAAAATAACGACAACAAAACCCTCCTGCAAAGTAATCTCAGTCCTACTGATCTTTATTCGTCATTCCTTAACTTTTTTAAACTTAAAATCTGGTGACAAACGGAAGCTAGATCAGTTTGGCAAATACAGTAGTTATATAATATTTTTCAAGAGCAATCATAATTGCAATGTACAGAGCAATTGAATAAAGGTAAATAAGAAAGGAAATTTTAAGTGAAAGAACTTTTGATTGAGCAAAAACGTTCCATTAATTGAAACATGTAGAATTAATCTGAATAATAATAATTAATGGTGTATAATTATTTGACTTGCAATGAATGAAAGACAAAAATTTGAATGAAGAGTAACTTGCTTATTAATATAATTTCATTTCACAGTGGTTTCTTTTTGTGACAAGTAAAAAGAGAAACTGTTGTGACTGAAAGAATTATACAAAAACTTAATGTCTAATTGAGTAGAAAATATAAAAGATAATCTGAACACGATGTAATGGTGTTCAATGGCTACAATCGAAGAAAGAAAGGATAATGATCTTGTTAGGACTTACCCAACATGTGACATGCTAGCACCACGCTTCTGCGTCATCTTGTTTGGGTCACTCCCTGAAATAACTAAAAATAGTAGACCTGGTCATGGTACTATGATTCTATAATCACGAGATAACATTTAAATTGTTTACAGTAATTTTAATGCCAGTCACATGAATATATCTACTACATGTTTGTTTTCTGTGACAGTCTATCATTCAAATCTTAGAAATGGTCATTAAACTTTGAACATACATGCATCTGTGAGGAATTTATACACGTTAGAATCTACAGAATCGAAAGGACGAAAAGAATTGTGGCAAGTTTCATTGATTTCTAATTATGCTACGCTTTCACACATCAAAATTACGTATGCAACTCCACACAAGCCCCCTCTCATTAAAAATCATTACTCAAATATAGGGCGAGAAAAATGGAGATTCGTGCCGTACCAGAGCAATGATAGATCTACGTCTTAAGCACGGTAAATTGCACGCAGAAAACAATTAGCGCTTTACGATGGAAAAGGGAACTTGGGGAAAGAAAATGCATGAAAACTCATTTAAATGTCGTCGATTCAAAACTCCTCGAAACCCCGCGAGTTTAGCAGAGGAACCTCCGTTCAGAAACGAGAACGACTTTCGGGAGGAACTTTCTAATGAGATGCCCGCGCGTTGATCGAACTGGCTAAAACGAGAAAATACATTTCAACTCAAACACAACTTCGACACGTACCTGGTATGGAATGGGCGATCGTGGATACAGTGAACATTCAGACAAAATTTGATCGTTACACCGTGAAACACAAATAAGAATGTGACAGTCGATCGGACGTGGACGCGAACACTTCGCGGCTAATTCACTTTACTCAACATCAAAACTGGGTGTTTACACTCGGCAGCCGCGCCATTTTGGAGTTTTATTCGGAATTTTATTTTTCCACGGACCTCCAGCCGCGAGAAGTCGCCTCGAGCGCAGCGCGATCTGTTAGCCAAGTTGCGAAAACGTTCCGCGTCGAAACGTATACATATGTATGCACAAACACATACGCGCGTACACATGACTAATTGGTCTTTCTGTTCTACATAGGTACATGCAGATTTTCAAATTGAAAATCACGTCAGCTATGCGTCCCAAAATATTTCATCGCTTTTTGTAAAATTTTTGTTCGTCGCAGCGTCGTAAGAACAAGTCATTGCTTGCATTGATCGGTTCTTGGCCATTCGGAAATGCTCGATTAAAGGCGACAATTGAAACTGTTAATACCTTCGGACGTTACATTGACTAATTGGAACGATAATTAATGAGAAAATATCTTTTTCAGACGTTAATTGCTAAAAGGTTGTACAATTAAAGTAGCCTGGTAGCGCCACCTACGAGTAGCTTTCGTCATTAAATCATCGAATACTGTCAAGACACAGTGTCGAATACTATTTTAAATCTTTGACGGATATTGTCAATTATTATTATTATTATTATTATTTTTTACTTTTAAACAACTGCGAAACAAGCCCAACAGATTATAATTAGGTGCAATGCATATACTTGATTTATAAAATGTAATTGATGATAGAATTTGTCAGACCGATTGTATCACTCTCGTGTGAACAGTAGTCTAATGCTGTCACAGTTAATCGACAGAATTTTCGTCATTAGTAGATTTTACGTACATTCTTGAACTTTCAAGAGAGAACAGACTCGAATTAGATTTTCGTGTTGATATAATATACAAACTGCGACGACTCAAGTTGTAATAAATCAAAATTCGCGCCTGAAGTATTAGGACGTATCCTCAATGACATCAAGGCAAACATACAACGTCTTAATTCTTAAAAATATTCCAAACTTATTTTTTTCCAAACTTCCAAACCCACTATACTTCGTTGCTAATAATTAAAACTCTAAGAAGCAAAGAAGGAAAAAGAATAAATGATTAATTCGACACACTTTCAATTACACTTTCTTGCTAAAATATTGATAGACTAAATAGCCATTCTTACGTGTATATTATCATACTCACATCATAAATCGATGTTTGACGATACTATGGGACAAATACAGATGTGACAAAAATTGGAAAAACTTGGATCAACTAGCAAGAAATATCGTTCTCATGCGAACAACTCATTGTAATTCGAAATAAGACGCCGTAGCGCCGGTATATCTGTATCTAGCCTATATCTACTACGCCACTTCCGCTAACTCGCTGCTGAGCAAAATGGACGCCTTTGTGTCTGTTTTCCTCGTATTCACACTATAAATACTGTTTTCCCTGCGATGCATCACCTTTGACATGGCGATGTTTACGCGGTTTTGCGAGAAACGTAAGTGAAAGTCGTGACGTGCCGCGGATCAATGTGCATTCCTTGGTGATCGACGAGAAAAGGCGTCCAACCAAATAGGCCAGAACCACGGATGACAATTGAGTGAATATCTCTGACGACGGAAACTTTTTCGAGCAGACCCGTACGAACTGGGACCGTTGTTTTGGCGGACATGTAAATATCGGCGGGCCACACACGTCGAGCAACACTGGAATGTTGGATATCGTTACGCCTCCCGCCAAAATTCCACTCGCTGCTCGCATTCTGCAGTATAAATAATCGGCTGCGGACAGCTAGGTAATGCAATTGACACAAAACTTCCACCGATGTTTGTTTTCATCCGTCAAATGACATACAACCGATGTTGTTACCACCACTGACCATGGCAATTCTATTATTTAGCAGAATTGAGCACACCTGGGAAGTTTCCAGCCAGTAGCATCCTCCTTAAGGCCATGTTATCATATATATGATGTTGGATGGTAGATACTCGACAACTGGAGGTAATAATAACAGCTTTATGTGGTGATAGTGAGCCAACCGTTCTATGTTAGATGAACACTTTCTGTGAAATTGTCCGGACAACGCAAATGAGGATTAGGATTATTAAAGGAAATACGGTTTGTATATTTGAAAAAAAAAAATGACATGTTTATTTGACACATCACATGCGTGAAACAGTTTCTTCATTCGTTCAATGATTTCCGTCAGAGTCTTGATACAGACTCATTTCAATGTGTTTTGTTTGATCTGTTAGTAACATTGATACTCTTGAGGGTCGTTGTAATGATTTCATTGATTTGGTTGTATTTTTGTTATGACATTATGGCATGCATGTATGTGTATATACGTATATACAAATACATAGAACTATAACATAGCAGCATTTTTGCAATTGCTATGAATGAAATAGCATTGTGCGCAACATATAATAACAATACAATGTGATTTTATGAATTTTAAGTTGGGATTTTCATAAATTTTTTTTATTTAAGTTTTGGAAAATCATTTGATGTAAATATAACCTTTAACACTTTTTTGCTGATGTTTAATGTTTTACTATGTTTAACACAATATTAATGTCTTTCATTAGTTTTGCATTGGTTTTTTATCAGATTTGTGGATTAAAGAGCCTAAAAAATAAGTTTATCTGTTAGTAATATTTTTTCATAAAAATATATCATTAACTTGACATTACAGAAATGTGAGTTGATTTTATTTTATTTTTTATGAAAATAATAAACTTTTTTGTACATTTAGTAATATATATTTAAAAAATTAATAGTACTTGTTTATTCATTACTTTGAAATATATATTAGATTTTTGTACAGCTTTGAATTCATACATATAAAATGTAACAAATTAATAATTCAGATGCCATTATATTTGTTGTTACGTGTCTGTTTCAGGAGAAGAAATTATTACTAACAATGGACCGTTTGTTGGAGGATCCACGTGCTTCATCAAAATTTGGTTGATAATTTCTAATACATCATGGGAACTTAAAAGAGACTTCGTTAAGTTCCCAATATATGCCTTAGTGCTAGTGTTCTTTAATAAGCGTTAGATATAATTCTGCTTGACAGTGAAATATCTCTTATGTCGGAATGCCTTGAAAATGCGAGTGTAAACATTTTAACAATGATTTCTTTAAGCATTCGTGGAAACAGTGCATTTAGATATGTTCTGTTGATTTATATTTATCACATACTGTGAATAAGACTTTTCCTAATATGTCAGTGCAGTGTTTGTTACGTTGGATAATTCTATGAACCTCAGAGTACGCATAAAGACACTGGATCTAATTTTAATAATATTTTTTGTCCAGGCTGTAATGCCAGAACAAGTCAAATTCAAGATGAACGGGGTTATACCGAGTGTGCCAATCACAACTCTCGCTGGTATCGCGAGTCTCACTGACTTGTTACCTGAAATGCCCCTTCCAACACCGCTGCCTCAGACTCTAACTAACAAGTCCCTTTTATTTCATCCAAGAGTGGCAGAGGAAGCACAAATATTGTTAAGTGTTCGCAATGAAAATTTAGTGCCGCAGTTAATATTATCTTTATCTCAAACCTCATCTGATCACATTGAACTGAAAGATAATTATGCAAATGCAGAACAGCCTTTGGAAACCGAGCAAAATACTCCGGAGTTACTTAAGGCAATTTTACAAATAAATCCGCATGTGTTTAAGGGCCCTCAATACAATTCACCGCGAAACTGGGCCCAAGGCACACCTATGATGCACACCAATCAAACATCCGCTAATTACGGGCGATTTTCACCATCCTACTCGAGTTCTTCAGGGTCGAGACAAACACCTCAAGGTAGTCCAGCTCATCCTGCTGCTGCTAGAACAGTGCTAGCGCCGCCCACAGGCATAAACCCCCTACCCAACATGACCCCGCAGCCAAATATGTATTCTCCGGCACATATGAGCTCTCCTGGAACGCCGTTAACGACTCTCGGTAATGTAACACCTCAGCACCACAATATGGCTGGTATGACGCCTCAACATAACATGCATATGGCATCTCCTATGCGTGCTAATATACCTTTGCAACAACATCAGCCCATTAATATCCAACAAAATATGTACGATCCTTTAATGAATCAACAAGTACATCATCCATTAGGGAATCACCAACCAATGGACATAGACAGTACAGTGCAAGAAAATCAGCAATTTTTGCTCGATCCAGTCACAGGTCTTCCCGATATCGATATACCGATTGAAAATATCGAGGCGAAACAACAGAATATGGATAACGCAACGCAACATCTGTTATCCACGACGCAAACCACATCTTATCCAAACATGGACACCAACAATATGGTAAACACGTTGAACACCACTACAGCGCCAATGATACAACATCAACAGAATAATAATTCAGAGAAGGGGATGAAAATGTCTGGTTCATTGCCGGAGAAGTTGAAAGAGCCCATTGTGATGCTGGACAGATTATCCTTGGCAGATCAGGCTCTGATGCAGAAGAGTTTAACTGCGTTCGCCGAGAAGTCGCCGAGTCGGGCCGCGAAGATGGGCATTTCTAATCGCGAGGACGTGAAGTCCGACTCCGAGAGCGAAGAGGAAATCGGTAAGAACAACAAATATTTCAAAGCGCGCGCGAAAGAGCGTCAAGTTCAAAGGGAAAAGGAGAAAGCCGAGAGGAAGAAAAGCGACGACAAGACGCGTAGACGAAAAAGGGTAACGGACGACGACGAGGAGGAGGACAAGAAGGAAGTTTTCTCACCGACGAAACCAAAAATCCGGAAGATAGAAAAGAAACTCGTTCCTGTTTTGGCTAAGCTTAGCGTGGAGGAGCTAATGGAAACAAATACGTACCAGCGTTTCAACACGACCATAGAAACGATATTCGAAAACACAGAAGACGTATCAACCAATGCCGAATTAGAAGACGACGGTGATGTGCCTCCAGAATTATTAATTCCTAAATATCAATTGCACGATCTGTGCACGGAAGCGGCCAAGCTGAAAGCATTAGGGGCGATGGAGTCAATTCCAGCAGACAGACTGGTCAGACTGTTGAATATTTTGGAGAAAAATATTCGAGACGGGGCCAAAGTGTCTCCGCTGGCAGACCCGGACGACGATGTCGATGAGAGTCGATTATGGACCCAGTTGGCCATGGAAAGAGTTCAGCGCGCCGTGGACGCGTCCTTAATTGCGCTGCACATAATGACGTCTAGCAATATGCCAAAAATGGTCTACTTAGAGGACGTGATCGACCGAATAGTCCTTTTCATGAAGTTTCAGTTGCAAAATACTATTTACCCTTCATTCGATCCAGTTTACAAGATAGACACGAAGAATAAGACTGACAATTATAATTCTAGTGGTCGTAAGAAGAGAGGTCACATGAAAGAGGTCCGCGAAAAAAGTATTCTCCAGGTGTACAATAAAATGCACGAATTGGTTGGCCTCCTTGCTGAATTATTAAACATTCAGGTTCTGACAGACACTAGTGTCCTTCATGCCTCTACATTGGGCGTTGCGCCATTTTTCGTCGAATCTGTTAGCGATCTTCAATTGAGCGCGTTAAAATTGGTCACTGTAATATTTACCAAGTACGAGAAGCATAGGAGATTGTTGTTAGACGATATTTTGGCATCCATAGCGCGACTTCCTAGCAGCAAAAGGAGCTTGAGAACGTACAGGTTAAATTCAGAGGATCACATACAGATGCTGACAGCGTTGGTCCTACAGTTGATTCAATGCGTTGTCGTTCTATCTGACAATGTCCTGCCGCAACAGAAGAAATCGCAGGAGGACGAGGAGAGGAAAGAAGAGAAGAAGCCCAATTACGTGGACGCGGACGTTCTGATCATAAACAAATACGAGACGGCCACCAGAATAGCAGGGAATTTTTTAACAGTGTTCCTGAACAAGTGTGGAAGCAAAGGTGAGGAAATCGATTACAGGCCGCTGTTCGAGAATTTTGTGCAGGATCTGTTGGCCACTGTCAATAAACCGGAATGGCCAGCAGCTGAGCTACTCCTCAGTTTACTTGGAAATCTGTTGGTGGGTCATTTTTCCAATAAGAGTTCCGACATGGCGCTTAGAGTAGCCTCCATAGACTATCTAGGCGTCGTGGCGGCCAGATTGCGAAAAGACGCGGTAAGCTCTCAATGTAAGTTATCTACCATTGATCAAATTATAAAGGATATCAAAATTGAGCAGCAAAAGGACTCTGACTACGACCAGGTGAAAGATAAAGAGATAGTTGGTCTGAGCGAAGATGAGGAGCGGACGGTTTTTTTACAGAAAGTACTTCTAGATTATTTGGCTGTAAACGGAACCAAGGATTCTGCGCTGGGCTATGCTCGCCATTTTTATCTGGCACAGTGGTACAGGGACTGTGCGTTGGAAAAGACCAAGGTTGGCCAGACAAAGAATAGCCCGAGCAAGAAGATACACAAGAAGAGGGTGAAAAAGAAGAACAAGCATCACTCGAGCGATCAGGATTCAGAGTCAGAGTTGGACGAACCGGATGCCGATGAGAACGACAATAACGAACAGAAAAACTCAGAGGCGTACAGAATCATAGAAGAGAAAAAGAAATACATTATAAGTAGAATAAGGCCGTACAGTACTGGCACGAAACCGGATATCCTTCAAACCTATATCGATTATAATTCAGCGGAGCTGATATCGCAGTATCTCGCATCGAAAAGGCCGTTTTCACAGAGTTTCGATCGATACCTGAAGCAGATTCTGCACGTGCTCACCGAGTCGTCCATAGCGATCAGGACGAAAGCTATGAAGTGCCTGACGATGATCGTCGAGGCGGATCCGAGCGTTTTGGCGCGGGTGGACATGCAGCTGGGCGTGAAGCATTCGTTTCTAGATCACGCAACGTCTGTGCGCGAGGCGGCCGTCGATCTGGTAGGAAAATTTGTATTAAGTAGGCCCGAATTAATAGATAAGTATTACGACATGCTGTCAGCTAGAATCCTAGATACCGGTGTTAGCGTCCGTAAGCGTGTGATCAAGATTCTGAAGGACATCTGCATGGAGTGTCCCGACTTCCCGAAGATACCGGAGATCTGCGTGAAGATGATCAGGCGGGTGAACGACGAGGAAGGTATTAGAAAATTGGTGATGGAAGTGTTCCAGAATATGTGGTTCACGCCGGTCAGAGAACGTCCCACGTTGGATTCCGAGTCCCTGTTGAGGAAGGTTATGAATATCACAGACGTCGTGGCAGCTAGCAAAGACATGGGTCTGGAGTGGTTCGAACAGCTGCTGGTTAGCTTGTTCAAGCCCAAGGAGGACAAAGACGATAGTACAAAGATGCTAACCGAGCCGCCGAAGGCACTGTTGACCGCATGCAAGCAGATCGTCGACTGCTTGATCGAGAACGTCCTTCGGCTGGAAGAGACGAATCTGGAGGAGTCTGAGAAATCAGAGAAGAAAGGATCCTCTCAGAGATTGGTCGCTTGCTTGACAACCCTGTATCTCTTCGCGAAGATACGGCCGCAGTTGCTCGTGAATCACGCGATCACGTTACAGCCTTATTTGAGCTTGAAGTGTCAAACACAGGGCGACTATCAGATCATCAGCAGCGTGGCTCACACGTTGGAATTGGTCGTGCCGTTGATGGAACATCCGAGCGAAACTTTTTTAGCGCAGCTCGAAGAGGACTCGGTTAAATTAATCTTGCAACACGATAGGTCAGTCGTTGCCAGCTGTCTCTCCTGTCTAGGCTCTATAGTGAACAACGTAACTAGAAATTTTAAATTAATACGAGACTGTTTTAAGAAATATTACGGACATCTGACTGAGTACAAATCCTTCTACGAGAAAGATCCTACGAATCCTATGCTCTTGAAGTATCGACCGTTTGTCAGAAGGGCGTTGTTCACCGTTGGCTTGTTGCTTAGGCACTTCAACTTCACCGACCCCGAGGTGATCGAGGGACTGGCAGAGAATATAAAAGACCAGGTATTTGAAACGTTAAACTATTTCGTACATCTGGACAACGACGACATTCGACACTTCACTTTATCAGCCATTGGTTCTCTATGTATCCGCCATTATGAATTTATGTTGCTCCCCGAGTTAAAGGAATTGTACCATCATTTGCTCACATCGGAGAACGCCTTGGTTCACATGAGGATTCAGGTCCTAAACAATATCGAGGTTTACTTGCAAGAGGAAGACAAACGGATGATCAAACAGGATATGGAGTGGGCGAAGATGTCCAAACAGGAGAACCTGAAGGAAATGGGAGACGTGTCGTCAGGAATGGCTAGCACGGTAATCCAGTTGTACGTAAAAGAGATCCTGGAAGCTTTTCTGCACGCGAACATCAGCGTTAGACACGCGGCGCTGAAGGTGATCCAGTTGATCCTTGCCCAAGGTTTGGTCCACCCGGTCCAAATAGTTCCCTATTTGATCTGCATGAGCACGGACTGCGAAAAGGCAGTCAGTCACAGTGCGGACAAGCAGCTCCAGGATATCGAGAAGAAGTATCCAGGCTTTATCCACATGAAGTCCCAGCTGGGCATTAAGCTGAGCTATCGACTACAGAAGATCCTGCAAAATGACATGACGGTAAGGGGAATGCGAGTGAAGGACGGCGAGTTCCCCGGCGCGCTAAACGGCTTTCTGTACACTATTCTGCGAAACACGAAACAACAAAGGCGAGCCATCGTCCTGTCCTTCCTGAAGCAGTTCGACGAGTCTGCGAAAACAAGCTTATCGCAGATGCTCTACTTGGCCGACAATCTCGCTTATTTTACATATCAAGTGCAAGACGAGCCTCTGTTCATTATCCATCACATCGACATTATCATCTCGATGTCCGGTACAAATTTAGTGCAGTCGTTCAAGGAAGCACTGTTGCCGAAGGAAGGTAGCAGCCAGTCTCAATTGCATCATCAACAGCACCAGCAGCAGCAGCAGCAGCAACAACATCAGACTCATTCGACTCTGGGACCGGACGGGCAACCACGACCGGAACAGCTGTTGTCAGCGCTCGAAGACGAGGAGGACGACGAAGAGGACGAGGACGCCCTGTTGGCTAGATTACCAGGTGACACGACGTTGCTGAGGGACTACATCACCGCCAGCCAAGGCTTCCTGCTGCTGCTCACGTTGAGGCAGCACCTGAAGGACCTGTACGGCTTCTCCGACCAAAAGATCGGCCAGTACTCGCCGACGGAGGCGGCGAAGGTGTACGAGAAGGCGGTGAACCGTAAGAGCAACTTGCTGTTCAAACCAAAGGCTACCCTGCAGCGGCTGAAGGAGGGCGTGAACAACGCCGAGCTGGACGCCGACGGCAGGAAGAAGCTGGTGAAAGAGTACTTAGACTTCAAGCAGTTGATGCTGAAGTTCGACCTGGAAGAGCCGGAGGAGGATGGGAACGAAGGCGACACGAGCGGCGGTGGTAAGCACACCATGGACATTAAGATGACGAACTCCGACACGGACGTGAAGATGACGCACGTAGGCATAGCGAATCCTCAGGTGGTTAACCAGTATCCTGGCAACCTGAACTCGTCGATCGAGCACCCGAACAATTCGGTGAACTCGATGGCCACCGGCGGGCCGATGCCGGTCGCCATGGCGATCGACCCGGCCCCGCAGGCCCCGATGAACGTCGCGGCGTCGCAGATGGCCGCGCCGCGTGTGCCCAAGCTGACGATACACGCGCACCACCAGGAGGGCGCGAAAGAACACCGCAAGCATCGGGCGCACAAAACCGAGAAGATCAAGAAACACAAGAAGAAGAAGAGGAGAAGAATCTCCGACAGTAGCGAGAGTGGCGAGGACTACAGTGATCCAGACTTTCTAGTGTGAGTGCGGTGGTGTATGCCCGCGCTTAACGTGTACATATAATTACGTTACTACGTACGAGAACCTCTAAAATACTACGATAACTTGGACGCGTGTTTCGCGTGGTTGATGATGTGCGTGCTCTGGTGTGCGTGGCAGCGGCGTCTATTTTTTTCTTTTTCTTTTTCTTTTTTTTTGTCTTTTCTTTTTTTTTCTTCTTCTTCTTCTTCTTCTTCTTGGTGCGTTTTCGTGTCGGCCGTGGATGTAGTAGGCGTTCCTTTTTCTCTTCTGTTCTTTTTTTTTTTTCCTTTTTTTTTTTTTTTTTTTTTTTTTTTTTTTTTCCTTTTTTTTTTTTCTTTTTTTACGTAAATGGAATTCGAACACACACCTACGTACACGTACACGTACAGACACACACACATACACGGATACAATGATAAAGAAGGAGAGAAAGGACAGAAAAAAATATAAATATATAGAACATATATGTATGTATGACGCTAATGTTATAGGAAGTACCAGTGCCGGACGCTCTGAAATCGCGGCGGACTCCCATCGAAACACAGAAACGGACTGAAATTACTTTTAACAAAAAAATTCAGTGCGGGTATGAAACGACGCAAAATAACGAGAGTATAATGGAGTATAATGAATTAGAAACGATGCTGATCTGTATAGAGGACGGTGGTGCTTTGCGGAAATGCGAATTGTATGATCCTTGTTTGCTGATTTGACTCGATTGAAAGGGAGCGAGAGAAAATGGAAAGAATGCTTTGAGTTTTAAGTATTGATCGTCTCCGTACGATCCGTTAGGGTTATTTCGTTGGCTAGAACACACACACACACACACACACACACAGACACACATACACGTGAATGCGTGCATTAAGATTTTCTTAGTCCATATTCGAACTGTTCGAAACGTAGATCGATAAAAGGATGGAACTTGGTTCAGTCGCGAGTCGTAATCGAACAACGCTTCTGTTGTTCGATTATTTCCTAGTTTCTTCTCTTCTTTTCTTTTCGTACGTGGGGATTTGCAATTCCTCTGCAGAAAAAAATTTTTTGTTCCTTTTTCCTTCTTCTTTCTCGACCCGTGACCATTACGAAGCTTACGTTCAAATAAAAAAAAAACGAAACGAGAGGAATTTTATTTTATACGATCCTTGAGACTTAAAAGAAGAAAATGATTTTTTTTTTTTTTTCAGTTCACGGAAGACACTCGCGTAAGAATATTAACGAGAAGAAAATCACAAAGTACGTCTGTATGCATAATTTTGATCGGATCGGATTAAGATAGAGAAATATATCTCGAACCAAGTTCCCAATTTCACAGAGGGAGCCCGAGTGAAAATTCTTTTTTTTTTTTATTTTTTTATTTTTGGAACACGTTTTTTGTCAGTGTAAATAACATTGAATAATTGCAACAAGATCGATGCGAGATTTTAATTTCCTTTTCACGGAAAAAGACGGAGAGACAAGTATTGGATGATGACGGGAGGGTTTGAATTTTTGCCGAGAAATATTGGTATTGTAAGTTTTTGTTTCGAAATCTTACTCTTATCAAAAGTGAGAGAGAGAGAGAGAGAGAGAAAAGAAAAGAAAACTCGGAAGAAACAACGAGAAAGAGAGAGAGAGAGAGAAGCCAACAACAGCAACAAATAAAAGAAAAAGACGGAAAAGAGCAAATCATGAGAGAAAAGAGACAAGGAAAGAATCCGTTTAGGCTTGCTCCGCAACAATGTATTATAGAGAAGTGTGTAGTTAAGAGAAGATTAAACGAAAAGAAAACAAGAAAAAAGAAACAAAATGAAAGAAAACAGAAACACATTGCCTATGCATTATGAGAGAGAGAGAGAGAGAGAGCGCGCGCGCGAGAGAGAGTGCGAGAGCGAGAGAGAGAGAGAGAGAAACAAAAAAAAACCGTTGTTTGTAATATCTGTACATACAAATTTCAAGTAAAGTATCTTATTTTCTTACAAACTATATAGCGATGACATTACGAAAGAATACTTAAAATTTTGTTGTAATATTAAGTATTTATTCAGAACTCATGTTGTCCCAATATAGTTTGCTTTATGCACACAACTCGTCTTTTCGTGGTAATTGAACAAGCAAACAAACAAACAAACAAAAAAAAAAGAAAAACTATCGTTTTTATACAAGCTTAGAGGTAAACGAAACAAAAGCAGAAAACAAAACAAAAAAAAAAAAAAAAAAAAAGAAAAGAAAAGAAAGAAGAAAGTGTAGAACGAAAAGACAGAGAAAGAGAGGAAGAGGAAGACGAAGAAGAGAACGAAGAGTTAAAAGGAAAGAAAACCATCTGGTTATCTATTCGACTGTGAAAATGAACGAGGTTATTATTCGTGCGCTGGATGGTGGTGGAAGGAGATAGAGAGAACAAACGAAGAACCAGGAAGAAAAACCAAACAACTGGGAGATCCGTGAAAATGTACGATGAAGGGAGGACCTCGACGGATCGCGTAGCACTTCCGCGCGACTCGTTTTCTTCGTGATACGCCGCACGCGATTTTCGTCTGTCCAGGACCGAGCGTACTACGGCGTTAGTCGAAAATTGGCGTTATAAACATTTCTCTCATCGATCGTCCCTGACTCGGGAACCAACCGTGCAGCTGTGATCTTTTAGCGATACTATCTTTCGTGGGGACACACACAAGGTGTAATTCGTCTCTTTTATACGTTTATAGAAAGTCCATCGGCCATCATCGACACGCAAGCGAGAGTTTCATCGAGAGAAAAAGCAGAGCAGTTTTACGAATTTGCCTCGTCGTCCTGGATGGTCGAACGTCACGTTCAAAACATGTTGTCACGCTCGCATGTTTCATAAATATTTCAGACACCGTAGACTCGGTCTAGCGAGGTCGTTCAAAGATTATAAATCACGCACCGATCCGAGTCTTCATCGAAGACGAATCGAACATTGCGTACATCATCGTCCATACTGTTTTAGATCGCTAGCTTGAAGCGTTTTGTGTCCCGACTAGGACACGAAGGGAACGAGTCGATTGGTTTGGAACAGGAACTCGCTGCGTGATCCGTGCGAGCCAGCTCTGGTTTGCCGATCAAAAGATGAAAGGAATGAAAGGATATGAGAGAGAGAGAGAGAGAGAGAGAGAGAGAGAGAGAGGTTTTTTTCACTTTCAACGTGGATCATCCTTTTCGTCCTGCGAGAACGTTACCATCATTTTACGATCATTTGTTGCATTTACGGCTGGTCGTTCATTTCTTGCGATGGAATAAAAAACGACGAGAGAAAGAAAAGAAAAGAAAAGAGAAGAGAAGAGAAGAGAAGAAAAGGAAAGAAGATGAGGGAAGCGGAAAAATTGTTGGCCGTTGAAACGGATCTTTAGATAGAGGACGAACGATCGCGAAACGAACAGAATGATCTATTAGGTGATAATGAACGCTTCTTTCGTTTTAATCTCGATTTAAAAACTAGCACTTTATTGGGGCCCAGATGTACATTCATCTCTATATCTCATCAATAAATCTGGCAGCAAAAGAAGTATGGAATTCATTCGATTAGTTGTTAAGAGTCTCGCGAGAGATGCACGTTGATTGCACGAGTTCTCGCCCGTTTTCAATTAACGGTGAATTAACGGAACGTGTCACGTTCGTCGTCGTCGACCCGTGAAAATGAGCAATTCGCGTGCATTTCTTGCACTTCTAGATTAGCCGAAACGTTCTCGAGAACCAATCGCGCGGCGAATCCCTTTAGAGATCCAAAAGTCGAACGATTTGTTGAAAAGAATGAAAAAAAGAACAGTGACTTTCCGGTCCGACATTGACGCCGCATATTGATTCCAGGAACATGCACGAGTCGCGTGATCGATCGCGTTCCCCTTTCGTCTTGGAGCCATTGGACGACGCGATTCTTCACTGAAACCGACGAAATCGATCTCGATTCCAGATGGAGGGATCTCGTGTCCGAATTCTTTACCGTCCCCTGAACCGTGTGCAATGCTAGAAATTAGAGAAAACTCCAAGCGTCGAAGTCACTGAAACGAACGCGCTGTTCCTGGCATTTTGAGAGGATGAGAGATAGAGAGAGAGAGGGAAGGGACACGTGGATTTTTCGATCGTTGGAAATGGCGTCGCGGACTATTCGATGGATCCTGGTTGTTCGATCGATCGACAAGAAAGCAAAAAACCGAGAGAGGAGAAATAGAGAAGAGTAGAGAGAGAAAAGAAGAAGAGAGCAATCGAACACACAGATACACACACACACACACACACATACACAAACACGCTTGTTGCGCCTACAGTTAGTCGCGCGCAGAAGAGAGAAAGAATGAAAGGAAATAGCGGATAGAGTTGGGAGAGGGGAGGTAACGGAATGGATGAGGCAACGCGTCTGAGATTATCGATGACAAATATTGTTAGAGAGGGAGATGTCCAAGTGACTGAACTAAATCGTAGCGACGAAACAGAGAGGAAGATCTTCGACCTGTACAAATGTTCAAGTGTGTACATATTTATTATATTGGGAAGGGAAACGAGGATGTATTGGGAGAGGAAAGGAAAGGAAAGAGAAAAATGTCGGATCTGATGGTTCTTGTTGCGAGGATGGATGAGGAGAGAACGAGGAGAGGATGAATAGACGGTGTTGTGTGCGCGCGTATGGAATGTAAGAAGAAAGGTGAGAGAGAGAGAACATACGTTGATATGATATATGGATGAATGAGACGGGGAGCTGAAAGCATTTCATTAAACACTTTATTGTTCGTTGTAATAAACTTCTAGAGAATACGATTATTGAAGAGAGAAAGAGAGAGAGAGAGAGTGAGAGTGAGAGAGAGAAGAATTTTAAACGGTTATATTTCTTTGTGCATATATACATATGTAGACTGTCATATATGTGTATATATACGCAGCTCGGAAAGAAACAAAAATCGAAGGAATTACTACTATTGCTATAATGTGTGGCGTTTAATTCGTAAAACGAAGCGAGGATGTGAATTGACGTGTTTGTGAGGTAATAGAATGATCCGCGAGAAAGAGGGAGCGAGGAATGTGAATAGGAAGCAAAAAAAAAAAAAAAAACAAAAAGAAGAAGAAGAAGAGAATACGTGAACAAAAGAAAATGTGGACAAACAAAATATGAATATAAAACACTTGTCGAATTTGATTGATCTATCGTACTCAGCACAGTACGAGGCACATTTGTATTATATAAAAATATATATATATATATATATATATATAGTATATATATTGTATCACCTATGTTTTTGTATTTGATCATCTAATGAAAGGCGAAAGAAAAGGTTCTACAGAAAAGAAAAAAAAAAAAAAAAGAATATTGAATTAACGAACAGAAGGTTAATAGAAAGTATATTATATATTTGAGTAAAATCGCCGAGAATTGGTATTATCCACGGCTGGCCAGGAAAGGGGAGAGAAATGAAATCTTTTTTTTCGTTTCGCATATACACATATATACATATTCGTTTAAGTTTTCTTCTATTCGCTCTTTTTCTTTGGTCTTTCTATATACATATATATATATGTTTGTTTCTCTGTATTAGGCACGTGCACATACACATGTATACACAGATAACACATGCTCAGGTAACGCGAGGGTTGAGGGAGGTTAATTAATTAATTAATTAATTAATATCAGCAGTCTACTTTGAACAGAGAAGAATAGAATGTGGACAGTCCTGGATAAAACCAACGCTCTTTTTACTCATAACTTATTATGTACATCGTCTGAAGAAAAACCGGTACGTTCGCAAAGAAAAAATAAACATAAGTATATATCAATCGGTTTCGTTCATTTCCTCTTTGCCCTCCATTATTCGAATTCTCTCGCACTCGTTTTCGCAGTTTGAAGAAAAAGAAAAAAAGAAAAAAGAAAAAAAAATGCTCAACCTGATGTGAAGGAAACCTTTGGAAGAGGTATATATATATATATAAAATTCGCATAAAGTTGCGTCGTGTTGTGCTGAGATCGCGTTTTATGAGAATGTGTTTTTCAGAGCGGATCTATTTGTATGGCCGACACTTCCGGCGTCACTGGCAACGGCCCCGATACGCGACAAAGTAGCGTACAAGGCTACTTTGTAACACGAAGATTTTTAGCGATTGTAAATATGAAAGAAAAAAAAGAAAAGAAAGAAAAGAGTGAAGAAATAGAGAATCTTCGGACTACAGAGTGATTCGACGACGAGGGAACCGATCACGAGGCATCGTGCTCGTTTTATGCTTGTGTTCGTGGGCTCGTCGTTGTCGTGGATCATTTCCTACGGAAGACTGTTTACTATAGAAGAGGATACTTTTAGCATACCGTTTCGGAAAACGAAGTACAAAACAGACACACCGAGATTTCGTTTCGCCTCTAGTAAAGTGATCCCGAGAAGTTTCGGGAGAAGTTTCGGACAGGAAGTAAGTACAATTATTGTAAATACCATGAAGTATGATTATATACGCAGATTATTATATGGGAATTGCGTTGGAGATTTGCTGTTCTAAGAGTGTGCTGTTCGATCGATTAATTTATTAAAATGGTTACAACAATTTATGAATTAGCGGAGGAGTTAATGGGAAACATATCGTCTATTCTTTAGCTGTAAACGGACACATCTGTTTCTTTCTTTAATTTACAAATACGTGTACATCTTGTAAGCATCGATCGATTAACCCTTTCAGGATCGAAATTGTTTCAGAACTGTGGAACTATATTAATATCGTAATAGGTTTCAGACTATATTAATAACAGAGATACACTTTCTCTGATATTTTTATAAGGAATTAGAACACGCATTAGGAGTCAAATTCAACCGCAATAATAAAACTAAAATTCAAACGCAACGTCGTGGAAGGGTTAACGAAAGTAATCGTATTTTTCTTAAGTAAAAAAACAAAAAAAGAAAAAGAAAAAAAAGAGATAGACAATCTTTGTGTTGCGTTCGAATTCTCATCGAGTTGCATGATTTGTTGTTGAACATTTACTTTAGGTGTTATAAAAAAACATGGTGTAAAGTTCACGAGTGACAAAATTGTATATTTATACGTACTTTGAGTCGCGTTAGTTACCAAGTTACACTTACAGAATAAAACTTGTACGAGTACATACAATAAATTAGGCATACGATAACACGATCGTTTATACTAACGTCTTTTACATTTTTTAATCGATATATTTCTTGTTAGATTTTTAGATCCTCCGATTTTTCGTTCCTCCATCGGATACGCCTGTAATACCATCCATATGTAAATAAATAAACGGTTTAATAATTTATCTACGTTACTCACGTTCTTGGCAAATCCTTGATGTATCGAAATTCGTTTGACTGCCTTGCCGGCTCCTCCGCTTTGCATTTCTCCCTCCAAACTTTCGTGGTGTTTAACAATGTCGAGTAATTCCTCATTTCTACGAGCTCCATCCTTTTTATATTCACCTGGTACTTGTTCGGCTTTTTCGAACGTAGGATCAAACATTTCCTCCTCTTGGTAAATTCTTTGTCTTGTTCCCTGCAAGTGTAACTCCTTTTCATAATTTAACTCTTCAAAATCACTAATAAACTTGCGCAAACTTTACCTAAATGCTTTTATCAAGGTTGTGTCGTATACACGTCTTTCTTTGGAGCTCCTTTCCTCCATCTCTTTCAAGACATTTTCCAAGCACTTTTTCTTTTTATACTCGTCCAAAGCTACCTGGATCTTCTCCCTACGTTTCTTCCTCTTACTCTCCTCCACCTCTTTCCTCAACCTCGTCTGCATTTTTATCTGTTCCTCGTCCATAAATCGCTTATTCTCTTTCTCCATTCTCCACTTTTTGATCAATTCTTTCTTCTGACTTTCACTCGAACTGGCGCTGCTGTTGGTGCTTCTGCTTTCCCTCGCGGGCGGTCTTGTTTTCTTAAAAGTATCAATTGCTTCCTCCTCGGGGACTTCGTTCAGACAATCTTCATCCTCACAATGATCTTCAATTTTTCTGTCCATTTCGTCCATATTTTTCTTCTTTTCCACCTTTCTCTGACGCCATTCTTTCACCGCTGCTTTTTGCTTCTCGCGTAAATCTGCGTACTGTTTGTACCACGCCTCGTGATTCACTATCGTTTCAACGGACAGATCCGGAAACTTTTTCTGGATAGCTGCAACCAGCGTTGGAATGTTCTCGCACGTTTTTCGCATTTTCAAGAAAAACAAGTGATCCTCCATGGGCCAATTTTCCGTGTGTCCTGTCAGGCATTTGAAGAAATTTAAAAAAAAAAAAAATTGTTCCGTCAGTTTTCACTCTGGTTGAACTCGTTTCAAATTTAATTGAAAAATTCACCCGTCACCGCGACCAGATCGTGAAAATCGTCCGCGCCTTTGTATTCCGATTTCTCTCGTTTATTATCCACCTTACTTTTACACGATAACGACAGAAGCGTCGCGTTTTCCTGCGCTTTCTCATATTTGTTCAAATCGAAGTGAAGCTCGTGCAGTTCGGAGCTCAATGCATCTCCTTCCTCCGTCAATGTCTGAATCGGACAGGATCTCTCGAAGTCCAGCAGTTTTCGCGAGAGTTTGATCAACTTTGTCTTGTACGTATTTATGTCTGAACAGAGAGAGAGAGAAAGAGAGATACGAATGAAAATATTTAAAACTAAAAAAATCGTAAATATCAATAACGTCACCTAGCTTTTGTAAATCTTCCGGATTGTTCGCAATGTGTTTCGCAGAATCCAATTCGGAAGCGATGTCTTCTATGTTTTTGTGCATCGCGTCTAAAAAGTTTCGCCTGATGCAAAAATTCATATTAACAATCAGTCTGCAATCTTCAACTAGTCTAAGTGATTAGATGATGCTCGAGTAATCAGTACGGCGAATTTTTTTCAGTTTACCTTTCCAAAGACAATTCTCTGTGTTGATTCATAATGTCCTGTACCAGATTCGCGTCTATTTTCATGTTCTCGATAGCGGTGACAAGCCCCTTTTCAAGAATGCCTTCCTGTTGCTTTAACCTTAACAGCGGTTTCATATATAGATCTTTTTGAGCGGAGGTCGATCTCTTCCTCGACGTGTCGCTCCTTGCTTTAACACTGTTACCGCTACTTGCGCTCATCGGCCTAATTAATTATTCGTAAATGGACGTTAATTGTGCCGAGAAATTGCTCTCAGCAACCCTTTGAGTCTGACGTTCAACGTCAAAGTACACGAAGCTAAGTTCGGTTCAATTTCCACCGATGGACTGTTGTACTTTATGGGTTTCCATAGCGATTCCCCATAAAGCAGACCGCATACGTTCGATGCACCTGTCGTTCGAGTGAAAAAGGTATCCCGTCGCGAAACCTATGGTAGCCTTGATAATTGTGTTTACACGTTGATTGTTTCCTTGACTGAGGGTTCTTTTGATTCAGATGCTAGCTGCGTAGGGAATAAATAAATTGCACAAGTTCTTTTTCTTTTCTTTCTTTTTATTGGTACATCGTAGTACACGCTTGAGAAAAAGAAAGTGTATAATATTTTTTTACTTCTCGATAATTATTATCGAATTATTACGACAGTAAATATGTCAATCTCTTCAAATCTTTTCCCTGGTATCGTGCAAATATTTGGAGTAAATTTTTGAAATTTCTTTTTGTAATTACAGTGCAAATTTGCCAGGTAACAATTGCAAGCAAAACGTTACATTAACGCCATCGTTGGATTAAGGCTGCTCAACGATGCGATGGTTAGTGCTCAAAGGGTTAAAATTATCATTTAATTATCATCTATAAAGAAATCTACCAAATCTACTTTCCCACTGTCGATAAAAACAGTCTCGTTATCCCGAGGTCGGTAATATCACTCTCTTCTCCGCGTTTCTTACCTGCTTCTCCCACTCTTCCGTCATTTCTCCCACCAAAGAACAGCCTATGCGATGGCGTCGCCTGGCGGAGGATCTGAGCGACGCTGTTTCCCTTCCAGGCACTCGCCGAACCAACGACTACATTCACGTTGCGGCGAGGCATTTATACGGGTGGACAGTAACTAGGCGCTTTAGTCTCTGGTTGGGACGCGACGCGTGAGTATGGGGTATGAGAGCACCCCCGAGCGTGTGAACGGTATCGTCGTGCATTGAAAACAAAAGTCGTCGCGACGCGGCAGCGTATCAAGGGGATCGTATGATAGAGAAACGCGTGGATACGTACGATCGTGTCATTTGGCCTGGTAATTATCGAACTATCGCTGCAGTGCCCGTCCATCGAAGTGAGAATCCGCCAGTCCGCGAATGTCCGGCGAATCGATCGTGTAACAGTGTAACACGCGACAAGCCCGAGACGAGATTCGTCGGCCTGATGAGAACTGGCGGTCTCGCGGCCCGATAGATCGAGACGATATTCGAGATTGAATCGTTCGTCGATGCGACACTCGCCGTCGCGTGTGCCTGTCAGTGATACGTGAGGGAAGGTCGCCTTTTTTGTGAACACGGCTGATAGGTGAGTGAGAAACTATCAAGTGTTTATTGATTTTATTTGGCTAGTATTGCGCCGTGGCTTACGGTTATCCCGCGGTTTTTGTTTATCCCCCTCGCCGCTGTTTCGGAAGGCAATTGTTAGCGACTCGTTCAATCCGAATCGGCGACGGTTGTCAAAATTGACAGTTTTTCACAAGGGGTGCCAACTTCAAATGGGAGCTTGAAGTTGGCAGGTTAAGTAGAATTTTGAATTGTACGATTGTTCGTTAAATCGTTACTCGATACGTGTTATTGGAAATAATATTCGAGAAGTTGTTGGAAACGACCGTTGCAACTTTGACTCCGTTTCTGTTAGTTTGAAATTTCAAAATGGCGGTGTTGTTAAACACGCGTACCTAGCTTTGGCCAACAAATGTATCGAAGGAAGCCGTATTCGATGTTGTTGTCAGTATCTTTACGAGAAGTAATGTTACGTAAAAGCTTCTTACTTAAATTCGTCGAAAGATCTACTGAATATTGGAGCATATACTGTTTGAACACTAGTTTTACCCATTTGCATCGCGGAGCAAAATATATATGTATTACGAATCTAACATTTATTGATATACGAAAGGGTCAGAAATCAGTTAGTGTAGGCGATTACTTCTTTTGATTGAAAATTGCTTGTATCACGCAAAATGTTGTAATCTTTTTGTTGTTAAAAGTATCAATCGGTGGGACAGTTTAGTTATTGTTTCCAGCAATTTGAACAATATTATTTAATAATGTTATTTAATATTACATAGTTATTGACACTACTAACAATATTATTTAATAACTTATACATAATATAAATAAAATATTATTTATATTATATATATATATATAATATTGTATTCTTATTGTATATTTAGTTATTTAAATAATATTTCTAGTTATTCTAATAACTATATTACGGCGACCATATAAATAATACGTAGTAATGTATCATGTATAACGTTAAAAAAAAAAAAAAAAAGAAAGAAAGAAAATCTGAAGTATTCGTAACGTTATGATTGTTCCTCAATAAACGGTCGAGCGATTAACATTGCAAAAGAGATTATGCATATTGCTCTGTTTTAAAATACGACGGATAGAACGTAACGCATGTGTTAATATTCATGTCGAAGAAAAAAGAAGAAAATAGAGAGGAATTCACGCAATAGTATTATCTGTACATGAGAGTTGTGGAGTTATCAAAATTATTTTTGACGAATCGATTAGGGACGCTCGATTGTTTGACACTCTGTTTCGGGGTCAGAGATTTTTCATATTATATATCCAGAGCCGAGGAGATCAACGATAAGCCTCTGTGTGATGACGCTGTATATGACTTTAAATACACGCGATGATTTCGATCCGACCCGATCGAAAATAGTCACGTTGTCGCAGAAGATGTCTCTTCCTCGTCGAACAATGTTTTTATTGACTTAGCGCGGCGAGAGTGTTTGCCATCGCGGTTACGCGCGATTGCTCGTCAAACAACCAATTAGGTTTTGCTTGTTCTGACATCTAAATAATTGTTTCTTGACGCCGGGAGCGTCAGAGTGGACGCAAACTGGATCGGTTCTGTAATTTTTTTTTCTTTTTTTTTTTCTTTTTTTTGTACAACGATTGAAACGATTTAGTTTCCAGTAATATTTAGAAATTCTTTACTGAAAATTAAAATGAAGAATCGTATAATTATAATGAATTTTCTAACTGTACGATTGTAATAGAATTTAATCGCACGATTATAATAGAATTTTATTATCGAAACGTGTAGAAAATCCAAGAGCGTTGATAATTCGAATTTCTTCGATAATTTCTTCAAAAACAAGATAAAGAACGATTTACTTGTTTGAGTGAAATATATCTAATCCAACAGTGTATAACATTTGAAGTTGTATCGTTTATGTAGGACGTATTACCTTTTTGTTGTTGTTTATCATTTATCGTCGCGTTATTTGTCTCAGTATCATTCAGTTGTCCAAGATTATCACAAAAGTGTCGCGAATTAACATTTTCAAACATAGACTATTAATATTTACTTATATTCCTCGATAATACTCGATTTTGCATCTTTTTTCGAAATATTCAGGAAGTAAAATTCGATGCTCAAGGAGGTAGTGAGTTTTGTCAAAGGGAAAAAGAAAAAAAATAATTTACGAGAAAACAAGTTGTTAAAACAAGAAATTCACTTTGATAACAATATGTGACATCGTCGACGTACATCCTCGCTCGAAGAAATCTTGGACCAAATACTATACTTGTACAATAAAAATGGTACAATAAATATAAATTATACACCATAAATAGAATATAAATTACACAATATAAAAGTATAAATTACGTATACAATGGTATTGTAAAACTACTTCTCTTCATATATTAATATATTATGTATTATTATATTAAATATTCTATTATTATGTATGTATATTATAATATACTGTATTATATATATATTGTATTATATTATAATATATATAACATTATATTATAATATACTGTATTATATATATATTGTATTATATTATAATATATATAACATTATATTATAATATACTGTATTATATATATATTGTATTATATTATAATATATATAACATTATATTATAATATACTGTATTATATATATATTATAATACAGTATATTATAATATACTGTATTATATTAACATCTTGCGCTGGAATTATTGTATACGGTTTGGTCACTCGTTATGGTCCGCAATCAGTTGCCAGCGCAAGTGGTTAAATATTCTATTGTAAAATAAAAATGTCACGTTCGTGTTATATTTTATTCTATTATATAATATGTATACACGTGTATATATATATATATATATATATATATATATATATATATAATCCACGATAAGAACTGAACATCAAAAAATGGAAGTGTCCCAAAGACTTTTCGAGCGGGAGCGTACATTTTTATCTACGTATCGAAGATATCCAGCGCGCGTAGGATCGGCTTTAGCAGCAATTTGCGGCTGTGAACGTTCCGTGTCCTTAGCGAGATCGTTATTGACGTCTATTTTCAAGCCGTTTTACCTTAAAAAGTCTCAATAAATTTTCGCCGAGCGCGCGGCGCTGACTCACGCGCGCGCGTGTCCTTAGCGCGTTTGAAAAACACTCTTAAAAGGCAAATGAGGCGATTAACGTATCGACGCGAGGGCAAATAAATAAATACACAGCGGGCGTGTATTGACGCTTGGCTTTCCAGCGAACGAGGAGGCGATGATCTTTATAGAGATCTGCCGTGTCAGATTAAATCGCGTCTCTACCGTGGAATCGTTCTTTGGCTTTGTTCTTTCCACCGATACATTATCCCGATAATGCCTGCGATCCACCGTGTTGTTTTCGCTGCGAGATTTCTATGTCTGAGGTTTTTCCAAGCTTCTCCCATTTGTGGAAATCTCTTCATCTTTACTTTCGTTCTTGATTTTTTCTTTTTTTTTTCTTTTCTTTTCTTTTCTTTTTGGTAAAACTGGTGGAAAGATCGCCATGAAAAGATAGACTTTCGTGAAAAGAAGTGAGGATCTCGTCTATCGGGTATCGCGATAAATAGGTTAGATCAAACAGCGAATTTTTATATTTTTCGATAAAGTATATACGATAGATTCGAAGGTACGCGATAAGTTGCAATTAATTTTAATAGTTCAATGATAATTTAATTTTTAAATTGTCAAATATATGTTGCATTCATCTGGCAATGTCGCTTAAGTTCTTCGAAAATATTTTCTAAAAGATTCACTTATCTTGGTGTTAGCAATAAATTGCTATATCAACTCGTCCAAAGTAATGTCTCTAGAATGTTAAATAATAAATTATTGTATATTTGTTTAATAAATTTCATGTTCTGTCAAACAATTTCTTATCAATCTATTTATATAATTTATATATATTCTATCAAGTGTCCGAATAAATCAACAATAATAACTTGTATGACATTACATCGGAAAAATTCAAATTTGTGTTGAACGAATTGATCGATCCTCAAATATTATTTTCATCTTCATTTTCATTTTTTCGTGCATCTCAGAGACGCCTCCTCTCGTTGTAAATTATCGTTGTAAGCGACGATTAGGTTTGTCGAATTTTTTCGACACATCGAAAAGAAATCGGGAAGTGGAGAGTTTCTCGAAGTTGGCCGAACGTTACGTTCAATCAAGATGAAGTAAGCGGTTTGAGTTCGCGGCAATGGACGATGAAAACGACAACGATAGCCAACCAGGTCGAGATACTTGGACAGATACGTCGAACGCGCCACGGCCACGCTTGCCAGATGCACTCTCGCGATAATCGGAGAGCCCATCGGGCGCATCTTTCGAAAGCTCTGGCTGGTTTGTGCTTTATATCCCCGTGAAACTCGTCTCTAAACGGTGGATGATGAATCGCTAATGCGCTATAGCGCACGGTAATTTGCCGAGTCTTTGACGGCGAGAGGAATCGCGATAATCACGGGGTGCGAACAGAGAGAATGGAAGATTTTCTCCCGTTTTTTTTTAAATCTGAGATTTAAACCAGGGCTGGCCAAGCTTTTATAACGTTTCGTGTCAATTTTTTCTCAAGTGAGTTCCGATGGGCCGCTTAACGGGGCAGGACAGTTTGACGGGCGTAAAAATCACGACTACTTTGGAGGGCTAGTAAAAAATACATGCTCGATTGAAGTGAGCTTTTTGTGTTTCAACACATTATGAATTATAAAAAGCAACATTAAAGGAGAAAAAAAGAGGGCTCTTGTTTAACACTTTGACTATTTAAAGAAATATTAAAAATTTGTTTAATTAAACAAATCCATCACATTTTCAACCATTTCATCGAAAAGAAAAATTCAAGAAACCCTAACATTTTGCCACCTAACTCTAACGTTTCAAGTTCGTTCAAAATGATTAAAAAAAGAGAAGTTTTAAAGTTAAAGAGACAATCTATCACGGTAGAGATTTGACAAAGATTTGATAGAAAGAAGAGCGTCTCTCTCTCTCTCTCTAAGGTTCTTCCACTTTTATTATTTCG